TATAAGTTAATAAAAATAATAAAATAATATTTTTCTTTGGGGATCTATATATTCAGAAACTGCTTTATTTTGAAAATCACGTTTTAATGATATTTTATAATATTATCTGTAGTTTGCTTATTTTTAAAATTTTTCAAGTTACACATTAATCGTTTCAAATGGATTAGAAACAATTTCTTTTTCAAAAACGCTTACATATGCGCTTCTCATCCTTAAAATATTTACGGAATATAATTTGTTATATATATACGACATTATATCCTAATTAGTTTAACAATGATTTACAATATAATTAATTAAGTTTCACATATTTTATTTAATAAGTTCTTGAACCTGCTGATTATATCTTCCAAATCCTTGACTATATGCTTATGAACAATTGCTTAAGTTGTTGATATTAATCAATAATTTGAATATAGAATCTAATGGGAACACAACCCCAATACTTTAAACCGGAAAAATGCTCTCTTAAATTAAATATATAAAACTATAAAGTATTAAAGAAAGTAAGATAAGATATTTGTAAATACCTTCTCTTTCTCAATTCTTCCAAAGAGTTGAACATTGAATATTTTCTGACTATTTTTTTAAAAAAAATGCTTGCGTTATTTACTTTTTCTGATTATTTCACTATAAAATCTATAATGACTAATGATATTTCAGCCAAAAAAAAGTTTGAAGTAGCGCCATCTGTTAAAAATCGTGAAGAATTGACATTTCCATTAAAATGGAAAGATAAAATATCATCTCACAGTTTGATTTTTCTGACTGGTGTCAGTGTGCGAAACGTAAAGGTTACTGGTGAATAATACTGCACGCAACCAAAACCGATTACGACCGAATTCCAACTTAAGAAAAAATGCCATGTCCCTCTTTGATCCGAAAAAAATTTATCTATACGTTAAACCTATCAACATCCAAAAAAATCCTCTGTAATCATATACTCTTAAAAAACAAGAGAGATATTTTTTTGGTAGACAATTGACGAAGATCCTCTAAAATGTCGGTTCATAGCATGTTTAATCTAGCATGTTGTCCAGCTGAGCTGTACAATAACAAAACAGATGTGAGGTACTTTCTTCATAATTCTTACAGTTGCGGCAAGAATCGTCGAAAGGAATACCTATTTCCCAAGCATTTGTTTCTAACTGCCAGTAGTCCGTTCACAACCTCACAATATCGCATATTTTTGAGATTCTTGATGTTTAGTAGTTTAAATGTCATCGTGATTAGTTTTTAGTTTTAAAGTACCATTTGTATTGAATAAATCCATAAAACCGTAGGAAGTCGTTTAGTTTTTATACGCTCAAGTCTTTTAATTACCTTAGCCTTTAATCTTCTCAAATGAATTTTTGGAGTAATTGTTTTTAAACCCGAAAAATCTGTCTCCAGATTCAGGATTCTTTTCAACAGGATGAGTAAGATCCACACAACAATCGAGCTAAGATTTATCTAAGCTGCAGTGCATTTGAATAAATGTAAGTAGTCATGAGCTCCAGAACTGCAGTAAGGATATGTCAGAAATATATGGATTAATTCCTGACATTTTGCAACTGTTTAGCACTTGTTTGTACTTTAATCTAAGTTGAATTAGAAGAGTTCTTACTGCATGGAGAGATCATTTTTTTTGGAACTATCCAACTGTTGAGAATCGAGTTTGATATTCTTTTGTTGTACTATCGACGCCTGTAGATTATAGACTGGCAATGATTAATAACTTTCTTTTCTCCGTTGCGATCATTTTCCATGTATTTAAGACGACAATTGCAGCAGACAACAGATTTTATGGAGAGGTAAGTCTTTAGTGATCAACGTAGCCTTGGTTATCCATATATCGTACGCGAGAAAAACTGCTAGTTGTACTCTTCACTAATTAATTTTAATAATTTTAAATTTGGTAGTTGAAGTAGTGTAGATTTGACATGCGGTGACAGCCGATCGAATGAAATTGCTGGATTTATTGCTTAAACTATATAGTGCTTATACAAAATACTTGCTAATAATTAGCTTATATTTATAAATTTCATTGGATTGAATTTACATTAGAAAGCAAATTATAAAATATAGTAAATAAATAGTAGTTAATTAATATATAATAAAACCAAATGTGTAGTGTAGGATGTGAAAGCTTCGAAAAACTAGTGCTAATTTTACTTTTTATACTGTCGACTTTATGGTTAACCAAATTTTTCTTAATTCTGGTTTTATATATACAGTCACACTTCCATAACTCGAAGTACCACTTTTCCAAAGAAAAAATTCGATTTGTGGAGAGTTTGAGCTAAAGAATTTTTTTGTAATTATATGTAATTTGCTCTCTAAACCCTGTTGCACTCTATTTAGTTTGAGTTATGGAAATTTGTCTATATGTATTGTATATATAATTATATATACGTGGTGTTCACAACTTCCACATTAATTAGGCTAACATTAAATACGTGCTTATATATGGTTGAAAAGATTTCGGAGAAATACCTAAGAGCGAATTGATGGTCTTTAAACTCAGAAATAAATTTTGCTAATTTGTATTCTAGGTAATACCAATACTATAATGTAGTGAAAGCTTTGGACGCTCTTATAGGCAGATATCTCTTGTAATCACAAGGGAACCGGTATTCATTTTTCACACAACGTACGATCTTTCAAATACGTAGTTCTCTTTCTTACTCTCTAAACAGATAGAAGTGTTGAAGCGTGCGCGGAATGTATAAATATTATTCTAAAAGCGGAAAAGCTGAGAGCGAAAGAAAAGTAATGTTGTCTTAAACGTTTTTAACCGCTTTGGGTCATATAATTAACACAATAAAAACATGGAACTCAAATTAAATCCTGCTTCGCATGCACTCAACGCTGTTTAACTGTCTATGCGGCTCAATGGATAGAATTGTGAAACTGTTGTTGTTGTGATAGCGCACAAGGATCTTGAAAGCAGATAACATGTAAAGATTCACACGACAAATACATGGGTTAGGATGTGAATAGATAATGTTTGAATGAGGACGAAATTAGAGTTGGATTGAATTGGATTAGCGATAGACGGAATTTAAATTAAAAATCAAACTGGATCAAAGCGGACAAACCTGGCTACTGTAATGGAGTGCGTCCAAAGGTCGATGAGATTGAGCTTTGTGTGGAACAAGAGAATAGATGGACGATTTCCCAAAGGAAATGCTTGGACTCGTCGGTGTCTGTTTAAGAGAGCTTTCACTGTATATACAATATATTTTGAAATTTCTATTATATTTAATTGCTTAACTGAAATTGTTTGTTTCTGTGGATGCGCACACTAATTTGGATTTGCACACTCTTTAATCAAATACAGTATATATTCCCTCAGAAAAATATGCTGGACTTTAAACTATACTTGTCTAAATTTACCTGGATAACTTATCAAAATTTAATGAAGCTCTTGTTATAATGTATCATCCAAATTCGTCATATACACTATCGAGCAAAAGTGCTTTAGATATTAACCTGCGCTTTATCAGGTCATATACACTATTGAGCAAAAGTGCTTTAGATATTAACCTGCGCTTTGTCAGGTCATATACACTGTTGAGCAAAAGTGCTTTAGAAATTAACCTGCGTTTCTTCAGCTCATAAAAACTATTGAGTAAAATTGCTTTAGAAATTAACCTGCGTTTCATCAAGCAAAGACCAAGAGAAGACTTGCAAACCTAAGAACAGATTTTTCTGAGTCCAAAGCATACCGCGGAGCAGAAATATATTCGATGTGTTTCACAAGGACCGATTAAATATTTAATGCGTCCTGCAAGGATCAGTACCACGGAAATATATATTGTACGGGCTAGTAGCGATTTGTGGATTGGCGATTTATGAAAGTCTGCCTTTGAGAAAAAGATTTTTTGTAATAATGTATTAAAAATTCAAATAAAGATATGCATACGATAAGTAAATAATTACTATAAATAAACAAAAAAAAAATTAATAAGTTATATTAAGCGACAATATAAATAAAGTAATATAAGAAAAAACAAAAATAAAAAAAAAATCAAAATAAATAATTATTGTTTTTTTAATTACTGAAACGTTCTTTGCTTTTACATTTTTTAAATATAAGTAGTTCTTTAAGGTATAAAAGATATATGAAAAATTAAATTAAATATTTTGTGGCGCATATATTGTATAAATAATATTTGGGGTTTTCTTAGAACTATGTTAGTTTGCTTAATTTTGAATATTTACGAATTAAAATACAGTTTTTTAGACAGTTTAAAATTTTTTGTTTGCGTGCAATTTTAAATAAAGCTAACTTTTAATTATAGGGTCTCACAAAAACGAACTGTATGACAGGCGGAGGAAAGCATTTAATAGTGGACATGCTTTTATGCTTTTTATATACAAAAAAAAAAAAAAATTTTTTTTCTTATTTGCAAATTAAAAACAAACTAATAAAATCTTTAGCATAAGTTAAAAATACAAGAAATACATATATTTATTATTTTGTAAATTTGATAAATAAAATATAAAATTTAATTTAGTTTTAGTAATTTTGTTAAAAGTAAAAAATTATTTTATTTCACTATATCAAAATATGCATATATTTAGCACTTTATTTCACAAATCCAAGACATTTTTCTTTTTTTTTTCCTTTGTTAGCTCATAAAAATTAAAAATTAATGAGCCAACAACAAATCGAGTTTCCTTTTAACTGGAAAATGTTTAATAGAAGTTAACTAAACTAAAAATTATATCATTTTTTATATTTTTATTTTTAAAATGTGTATTATGTTTTTATTTTTGTTTTTGTTTTGTATTTAAACGTATATTTGTTTGTTTGTATTTGTATTTAAATTTAAGTATTAAGATTATAATTATACATGTAAATTTTTAATCGATTACAATATTTAATATAATTTTTCTTATTACTCTCTTTACGCTCAGTTACGTTTTTTAAAATTATTTTAATTATTATTAAATATAAATTTATCTTTGTAAATGTATTTGTAATTAAAAATGAATCTTTATGTATGCTTTTACTGTTTTTGGTGCATGGGAGAGGAGTATGGTGGTATAGTATAAGTTAATGAATTAATTAGTAGATGATGTACAAAGGACATATTTTACTAAATTTGTTTTCTGTTTTTTCTGTTTGTTTGTTGTTGTTGTTTTAAAAATCAAATGATTTCATATTTCTTGTGGGTATTCATCATAAAAACGAGACATTGTTTCTTCTTTGTGTTGAATGGTAATAAACAGATCTAAGATTGGACCATTCAATACAGTGTTTTTGCTTTTTTGCTTTTTTTTTGTTTATATGTAAAAGATTTAGTTTTGTCCTGTCCAATACGAAGGTGAGTAATTCTGCTTAGCAGCCGATTTAGCTTGGCTACTAGCTTGCTGACGCTGACCTGTACTGTTCGAATCCTGAAAAAAAAAATAAAAACAAAATATTATTTAAAAAATTCTTTAATTATTAAAACTAAATATAGTTATAGGAATTTACTGCATATAAAAAATTAGTAAATATTTTTAAAAATTTAATAATTAAATATTGAATTATTAAGTTGTTAAAACTAAATTATTGAAGAATTAATTATATATAAAAAATTAGTAAATATTTTTAAAAGTTTAATAAATTTTAAATTCTTTAATTATTAAAACTAAATTAATAAATATAGTTTTAAGAATTTATTAAATATAAAATATTCGTAAGTATTTATAAAAGTTTAAAAAATTTCAAATTATTTAACTGTTCAAAATAAATTAATAAATATAGGTATGAGAATTTATTATATATAAAAAATTAGTTAATATTTATATTAAATTAATAAATTATTTAATTGTTAAATAAATTAATAAAGATAGTTAAAGAATTTACTAAAAACAACTAACTAAAAATAATATTAAAATCAGGTCTTCTCAATAATAAATTATTAAATATTTATAAAAATGTAATAAATTTGAAAATTTACTCTTAAATGATTGAAGTGTCGATTGAAGTGTTACCAACTACACACAGGTATATCTGCCAAGGTGATCTTCCCAACTACGTGAAATTCATATGAATGGCACCACAAACATTTGCATCTAAGTTTTATAGAATACAACTTATTCGAAATGGAATTGAAACGTAATAGAGTGATTGCGTTATATTTGGCTGAAATATTGCAACCAGCTATTGTTGGTAAGTTGAAACACCTCAAAGTGAATAAAATATTTATGTATTATGCCATAAATCGTTATAATAGAACAGGTAGCGTTGCCAAACGCTATGGTGGTGGATGAAAAAAAAAACAGCAACATTTCCTAAAATGGTTCGGAAAGAAAGTAAATGCTCGACTTGAACGAAAGCCACGTTATAGTGTTAAACAAATGACCACAGAAGTGAAAATATCCCAGGTAAGCATCCGACGCATATTCCAAAATGATGATAAAGTTCAAGGTAAAGCCTTACAAGTTCCAAAAAGCACAAGATCTTACACTAAAACAACAAAAAGTTAGACTCGAAAGAATAAAGGAGTTGGTTACGCCTGCACGAACATGGTGAATTTCCAAACGTGTTTTTTGATGAGAAAAAATTCTCCATTGAGCAGTACATAAACTCTCAAAATGATCGCGTTCAGTAAACCTAACGCACTGCCGAAAACACTACGAATGAGACTACAAATTGGCACCCGAAGTAATTTTCCCACTCAAGTAATACTATGTGCAGATGTAACCGCTGATGGACGCTTTCATCAATCGTTTTCATCGAGCCTGGTGTCAAAGTCAATGCGACTTATTATCGGGAAAATGTTTTGCATGGATTTTCTAACAAAACTTGGAACTGTCTCATAAAGCTCGTGTGAATCAAGCATGGTTAAAAAAACATATTTCACACTTCATTTCGTCCACACAACGCCAGACGCAAATCTGATAGACTATTCCATTTAGGTCATTTTAAGGGCAAACAAGAAGAGGACTACGCTGAAGAAAGCCATTGTTCGAGTATTTTGATGTTCGAATAAATTTGTGTTACAAAATATTTGGAACGTTAGAGATAGACACTCCAAAATATTCAATGAAATTTTAGTTAAACGTATTTGTATGAAACGAAATAAGTATTTTCCTTATTGATGAAACCTAAAGCAGAGCATCTTACAGGGTGTGTACCCTAACATATGACAAACATTTCAAACTTCGGTAATATCTCTTGTGACTAATTTATTTTTAAGAATTGCATTCGATCATTCGATATTTTTGTGTAATTTTTCTTAATTTATTTTTAAGTAAGTTATAAAAAATGAAAGCTTTTTGTGTGGTTAATGAAATTTACTTAGTAAGTTACACTTAGTTACAAGTTACACTTTCTAAGTGAGCAGTGGAAACACACTTTCATCAGATGATTTTTTCAGTATATTGTTTGGCTTTATATATTAGGTGTAAAATAAAGAATTTAAATGTCCACCATGGGATATATTATATTGCAGGATTCTTCTAAAGTTTTTTTTATTATTTCTTGGCACATAGCTCATTACACATAACGGATATTTAAGGATTGTTCGAATAAACACAATTCTAATGTTAAACCATATGGGCTTGGTTGCCCACTATAAGTTCTACAAAAAGACAAATTAGGAGCATTGCAATGAATGTATCAGTCTTGAGAGGAATATATGTAAACAAAGTCGAATGTTGATTTTTTTTTAGCTAGACCGGAAACTGGCTCCGGTATTATACGTATATGCTATTTAGAAATTTTAGGCTTTGGTTAATAATCGAGTATTCCTAATGTTCTTTAAGTCTGTTTCGACATTTTCATGCCATCTAAAGCGGGTATTACACTGTTCACTTGGCGCGATAAAATGCGAAATTTATGCCAAGCCTCATACAATTGGATTTTTGTCGGCTTCCATTCAAATTTCATTCTGTTTTAAGTCATGGAAGCGAAAACATAGTTTCGTTGCGCGCGTGATTCTATTTTGTGGTAATACTTGTAGTATTTTTTACTGAGGAGTGTTGAAAATAATGTCGGCACTGAATCATATGTAATACCCGCTTAAGTCGTGAACATCCTCTTTTTTCTGTTATGTTATATGAATGTGTGGAGAACGAGTAGACTTAAGAACATTTGCATAAAGTTTATACTTTCTATTATAGAACACTAAACATGTATCTGTCTCAAATATTGAACAAAATTATTTGGTAGAGATAGATCATTTTGGAATAATATTTTAAGAAATAAAAATATAGAGAAGTTTCGAAAAGTAGTGAACTACAACAAAAATTCTTTCTATATTATTTTAATTAATTGAATTTCTGGCTGACTATCAGCTGTTTCGAGTATGTCCAAATACCAACGATGAGTGGTCTTATTAATTTTAATTAATTAATTTTTGAGACCGCAAGTATCAAAGGTACCAACTTATACCCTGCCCATTTCGAAGCTCAGAGTCATCGTTTATTAGCCTCTTCATTATTCTATATATATTATATAGAATAGATAATCACAAAATTTGTCATCATTTTGGTATCAAAATAAGAAAACATTTATTTTTTAAAATATTCTTTTGGGATTTTTAGGGTTTTTTTAAATATTTCTGTTTTTCATTATTTATAACATCGCGTTCAAACGGACTACTACGCTTTGACAATATTTACGCAAACACTATTACATTTTCACAAACACATTTAAATTATTATTTACAGACTAAATTCATTCAAACAAAGTTCTGGCCAAAGTCTAGGTAGTGTAAACACTAAGTAAGGAAAGCGCACAAGTCGTCTTCCCCATAAGCAGGACAACTAAATATAATTAAAGAAAACACTTTGACTTTCTTAAAGAACTGTGTTGCAAGTGTATTGTATTTAATAAAAATAAATAATATTTATAATATTATAAATAAAATTTTCTTACAAAGAATATATAAAAAAAACTAAAAATTAATTAATAATAAATTATAAGCATTGTTTCGAGTAACTTGTAATGCATGGAAATTTTTTTTAATTTAAATGTTTTTTTTTTAAATAAAAATTCTTAATTGTTTAATAAATGGAATGGGAAATGTCTTCTTAATTTATAATATTATACACTAATTCAGTTAAGATATTTGAATGGTTGTCTGACTTGAAAAGAATCCAATTTATGGCATGGAAATAATTTTGAAATGTTTTTTTTTAGTTGTTGATTTTTATAAAACTTTGCCGTTTATAATGCGTGTTTAAAATGAGCTATGTTAATTTAGCTGAAGTGTGTTTTTTTATAACTTACCCGGCGGGATGAGTTATGAATCCTGCCGTCCATCTAATGTTGTCCCATAAAAAAACAAAACAAAAAATAAAAATAATAAATCAAACAGAAAAATAATCATGCTTTATGATTTAATTTTAATGAAGAGAAATGTTTTTATTTTATTATTAAAAATAAAATGAATTAAAATTTATTTAATGATTTTAAAGAGATTTTTTCTTTTGCTTAATAACATTTTAGCAGTTCTTTATAAAATTATAAAGAAAGAAGTATATTTAAAATTATGTTTACAAATAATGCAAGTAATGGCAACATTTTACAATTATTGATATAAGTTTTTTTGATGATTTTGAAGGAATTTTTTTTTAGCAACTATTTTGTATTTTATTTTATTTTTTTACTATAAAAGGAAAAAGTTATCATTAAATTTATTTTATAATCTAAGAGATTTTAATTTGTTTAATATTATTAAAAAGCCTTATCACTTTGAACAAAGTTTAATCACAATTTCACTCTTGCCTCAATCTTACAATTTTTAAAGTTTTATTGAAAATTATATTTTCATTTGATGTGACCATAACTGTCTGCATAACATAGCCACAAGGAAGTTTTTGTATAAAAGATAAAGGCCAAAAAATTTAGATTGATTTATGATCAATTAAAGATGACATTAGACGTTTAGTAAGGATTTATTTTGTTACAATAAATTTATAGTACCATCATATATAGTGAATTTAAAGTATCATATAGTGTAGTAAAAGTCAGCAAATTAACATAACAAATTAAATTTTGCAATTAAAAAATTAGAAAAAATTCGGTTAAAAAGTATAAATTATTAAAATTTAACACTGCACCAAACAGGAAATTTTTTTCTTCTAATTTTTAAAATAAAACTTTGTTATTGTATTATTTTACTCATTATTAAAGTTATTTTTCATGAAATTATATATCATTTGATATAGTAAAATAATTTAAATATGGCAAACAGGCTGCTATTAATAGTTAATTTAAATTAAATTATTAACAATTAGGTGTAGGTAAATAATAAAATAAATATAAATAAAATTATAATAATTTAATTTATAGAATATAATTTGAATGTAGAATTCGAAAACTATTTTGTTTCAGTTCAATTTAAAAAATTATATATATATCGGTTCAATTTCATTTTATTTACGACAAAAATTACGTTTCTTTCGATTTCGGACACGGTTGGAAGACACGAACTTTTATGTATTAGTATTAAAAATAGTTTTTTTTTGTCATCTAATTAATTTTTTTCGAAAAGATATACGTAGCGAATTTATTAAATTAACATATACCATACCTATTAAATTTTTTTAGAACTGAAGTGGGATGCGTTGAACCGAAATAAATCGAAAATTTTTTTCTTGACTAGATCATGATTTTCGTTAGTTTATGATATGTGTTTTATTTTCGAATTGATATATGTATAACAGTTACATAGGTACTGATTGTATAACAGTTTAAAAATTGTTGACACAAATTTATTATTATATACATTTTTTTGTTTAAATGTAGAAGTAAAATTATTAATCTAATTCAAAAAAATTTCTTTTAAACCAAATTGTTGAAACAAAAAAAAATAAAATAAATATATTATTAAAACCTTTAAATAGCAATTTATGTTATATGAAGTTGGTATTAAATTCGAACATTTAAATAAGAACTCTTTTGTAGTATTGCAACATATAATATATTAATAAAATTAAAAAATAATTCTTTAATTTTTTAAAACAAAGAAAAAAAAATTAAGTACAATACTAAAATTTTAAAAGATTTAAAGAAAGACTATTGATAAAATTTTGACTTACAAAATATAAGAATTACAAAATATATGACGAAATTTGAAAAAAAAAAAATAAATAAATAATTATTATAACAGAAATTTTAAATAATAGAAATTTTAAATAATAGAAATTTTAAATAGAATGTTTAAACAACAGTTATTGTTACAAGTTATATATAAAAATTTGTTCTTCAAATTATAACAGTTTTTAGAAATTTTTGTTTGTATAACAGTCATTGGTCTAAGTTATATATAAGAATTTGTTTTTCAAATTATAACAGTTTTTAGAAATGTTAAACAAAATGTTTGTATAACAGACATTGTTATAAGTTATATATAAGAATTTGTTCGTCAAATTTAAGGTTCCTTGGTTCATTAATTTAAACATTAAAGAAAATATCTTCAAGTTCAACCCGGCAAAGTTTTATAAAAATATATCAAATTGTTTGTCCTATATCCTATATGCTGTTTTAACACATATGTAGAAAAATTTTCATATATTAAAATAATAAATAAATAAAAGTATATTAGTGGAAAAGAAAATAATAACGAAAGAAAAATATTTATATTACATTAAATATGCATACCAATATATAACATAAAAATGAGATAGTAATCCACATGCAAGTTGTCAAACACCAATTGATATGAAATAAATTTTAAATGAAGTCATACTATACCTGATGTATTGGTTGATGAATCATGTTATGATGACCAGCTGCAGGCATTGGTAAATACATGCCATAGGGCTGAGCGGATGCACCACCAGCTGTCTGTGTGTTACTCATATTAAATGGTGGTGGAGTACCAGAATGGAAATTTTGCTTTTCATATGACTAAAAAAGAAAGTTTTATTATAAAATTTTATAAAAAAATGAAATTGTATATTTTTAATATTATAAAAAATGATTTTTACTTACATTGACCTTGTTTAATGCTACATGTCCCTTGCCATACATGGACGATGTAATGTCCGAACCGGTTGCACCTTGCTGTGGATTTGTGACATTCTGCGACTTAGTCGGCTGGTTCACATTAGAAGGGTATGCCCCCTTTGTATAATCCTGTGAAGCTTGCGTAAGTGCATCATAACTAGTTGAACCGTAACCAGTATTATAAGATGGTTTTGGGAATTGACCACCAGATGCTGTATTAGCAGCAGGAATTTGTTGCTATTTAAATATAAAATAAATTAATATTTTTTTTGGAAAATATATTAAATCTTTGAAATACAATTATTAAGCTTGATTAAAAAATTAAATTTCTCTATAAATGTCACTGACGTTTCGAAATTTGTGTAACTTCTTTCTGTTGTTGTTGTAGCAACCCGTTGGGACCTACTTATGAAGTTTCTTTGGGAGGTGTTGAAGGGTAGTTGATCATCGCTGGCGACAAGTGGCTTGGACGAGAACCCTGCCATTTTTGGAACCATGATTTCTTTCTCAGGGCGGTATGTTATAACATGGAGTGGGTTCCAAGAACGACCAGAACTACGTTCCGGAGCCACTCACCGAGTTCTACTACGAAGTGCGTTTCACCATCACTACAAAAGACTACAGAAGCAGATCCCAACGGGCTACAACAACAGCATAATAAGGAATAGACTTCGTCACGTCGGTGACATTTACATAGGATATAATTATAAAAACTAAATTAAAACATAAAAAAAATTTGTCTTTATTTATAAATTAAAAAAAGGCATTTCATCAAGAAATACACAATCAATAAAATATAAAGTTTTGAAACAAAAAAATAATTATGTATACATTTTATAAAACTTACAGGATATATAGCCGGCGTGCCATATTGAAAACCACCAGGCATAACATTGCCACCATAGAAATACGCGTAAGGAACATTAAGCATAGGCGCGCTTGAACCTGCTTGTTGTGACATTGTACTCGATACCTAATTAAAAGAAAACCATTGTAATTTTAATAATTGTTTTTAATATGTACTTGACTATTAATATTCTTAGAAAAATAAAATAAAAAGACCATATAAACTATATATTCTCAATAAAAAAAATATTTGTAATCTAAAAGCCCGTTTCTAATTGAAGCATATAGTTTGGACTGTTAGTGGGTAGAAATAAAATATTTTCTATAAAAAATCTAGTTTTTCACTTGATCATAATGTTTGTAACTCCAAAATAGGGCACCGTAGCGTACTTGGGATTAGCTAGATTGAAAAAAAAAATAATGTTTTCTTATTGTTACTAAAATTTAAATGTATTTATAAAATAGATCAGATCAGATCGAAAATGTTATCAAGAGCTAAGTAGGATCTGCGAAATCCGGCTTGTTTTTCGTTTAAGATATTATTGAGCTCAACCCAGCTATTTATACGCGAAAGTAGTATATAGGTAAATATTTTATAGATAGAGTCGAGCAGTGATAGTCCCCGATAGTTAACTATATTAGAATCTCCTTTATGTATGTTGATTCTTTTTTCGAGTCAGCGCAACTAGGTACTTTTACTCTTGATAGCTGGGGGTACTACAGTGGGACCCTCATCTCATTTGACTAATTTATGTATTGCCTATAAGCTTCATGATTATTCAGTGATTGATCTAAGATCTACGTAATTCCCCGTGCGGAGAGCGATTACTCTAAGATTAGATAGTGGTAAGTAGGATAGCCTGTCAATTTTCGCATATAACTTCAGGGCTCTGTCCCTTATATATTTTTTGATCGGGTCTATTCTAAGGTCTCTTAGCATGTCGTTTGTGCGGATGTACCAAGGCACTTTGAAGAGCCTTTGGAGAGCCTGACTTTGAGCGACTTGTAGCTTTTGTATAGTAGAGTCGGTAGCTTTGCCATATGCGACACACCCTTTATATTACCGTTCATTTATATAAACTTATTAATTTGTTTTTTTTTTATATTTGTGTTGAGATTCTAAAATTAAACTGAAAGATGACTGAATAATACTTTTCTTTATTATATTGTCATAAGAACTACAATTGAAATATCGTGCTAACACCAGATAATTACATACAGAAACTAAACTTGTTAAGTCTATAAACGACAGGCTCTCTCACGCATAACATAAATATTTCAATACTAACATATATAAATAGATTAATGGTGCAAAATATTACCAATGGAAAAAGTATTAACTTCAAATGTTTTAAAAAATTACAGGATGTTCTTAAACTGTGAAAAGAAAACCACATTACAGTTTATTACACTCGTTTAATCTTAATTTGATGTCCAGACCTCCATTTCAAATTAAAATATATTTTATTTCAAAATTAAATATATATTATTCTTTATTAATATGAATTCCTACACTTTACTTACATTACTCACTGGGCTAGAGTTATTGTCGGTCCTTGCAAATCGGCCATCAGTCATAGTAGAATATGCCACTGAACCCAAGTTGTCACGACCAGCGCCCAAACTTGTGGGGGTGTAATTCAAATCATAGAAGCCCTGCTATAAAAACGGAACATTGAACAATTGAAAATTATTCATAAACATAGACAATTTATTTAATTATTATATATATAAAAATAGTATTTTATATTTTTTAAATACAGTTAAATAAATAAATATTATTTTTATATATATTACAGTTTTGATTTTTTTGCTGTATAAACTTTATTTATAATTATAGTTTTTATAAGTAAACATTTATCAATACAGGTAATATATACAAATATATATATTATTATACATATATTATAAATTATTATATATAATATATTCTTATATATATATTACATATATATATATAATTTATTATTTCACAAAGTTATTTCATATATTTAACTAAATTACTGCACCGAACATAGTTTTAATTAAATTTTAAGAATGTAAAAAATTGTGTTATACATTATATTATTATAGCATTAATTTATATGTTAAAAATGAAATAAATGTTATTTAAAAATGGAATGTAATCTAGAAATGATGCGAAACCCAAAACCTCTTTGAAGTCATACAAAAATTAATATGTAAAAATATGAAGAGTGAAAAAAATGTACAAGGAATAGTATATGTCCTATAAGGTTACTGTACAACCCTATACCTAAAAGGTACATAAGGATACTAAATGAAGCTAATAAAAAATTAGGTAATGTACTTCAAAACAGATCTGAGGAAGTATCTGAAGCTGTTATTAGAATGCTTGTTAAAAAAAGGTTTTTGATTTTGCACAATAAATTTTGTTTGGTTGAAATGGGAAAGGCAATTTTGTTCACTTGAGACCAAATACCCTGAAAAACGTTGGTCTCATACTGGACCTGAAACACTACCAAAAATAGAGATGAATGAAGCTGTTAGACTTGGACAACGTTCATTCGAAAATGATGGACTACACTATTTCAGTAATAGAAAACCAGTTTGATAAGATTATAAACTTAGTTATGTCTATAAAAGTCTATGCTGACTTTTATAGAGGCGCAACCGCTATAAAAGTCAGCATAGAATATTCCATGTTTTATTGCATTTTTTTCAAACATATGTTGGTTTCGCTTTAGTTGAAGTAACTGACTGCTACATTTTTTACTCAATTAAAAGCAAAATAATGATATATTTTTGAGACGAATCAGTACTGAAAACATGAAATAGATTGTCCACAACAGCAGTAAACGAAAGAGAACTGATTCCAAAGTACATGGAAAGGCTATATTCATGCCAAAAGGGGAGAATTATCGTACTGTAAAATTTTAATGGATCGTTTTTTAACTAAAATGTTCCGTAATCAACTGGATAAATTGAAATAAAGAATTGTGAAGTAAGTTGTTGCTATATTTCAACTTATGTACAGGTAGGATAGGAATGAACGGGGTACTAGCTCCCGACGGCGCACAACACAGCGACCAAATTGATATTTTGTGCTGCAATAGACCCTAACCGAACAGAAGATATTCCGCTTTCCAAATGAAGGTCAGAATGTCGCCCGTTGAGGACCTCCTAATGTCAGAAGGGGGGAAAAGCTCTCCTCCCAGTGATCTCCTCTTGGCTTAGATCAAGGCTGGGCAGTCACAGAGAATGTGACTGGAAGTCTCGTCTGCTTCTAAGCAGAGTCGACACTCTATCTCTTCGGACCTGTTAAATATCTCACCGGCAATCTCAACTTTGTTCTGCTATAGAGGGATACCTTACCATAACTGTAGGGATGAACCAGCTGTTTACAGGTATTGTATAGTGAAAAATCTCATCTATTATACTATAATATGATAAAGTATAGTGTTAACGAACAACTTAACAGGGACTGATCACAAGTATGTACATCTATTTTCAAAAATTTAATTTAAAATGAAATAACTTCGTTATCAATATTAGTAGTACACATATTTACATATATACTTATACAGCAAAACATATATACACTGTTTTAATAAAATTAATGTTATAAATTTTCTTTGAAATTAATATTAAATATACAATATAAATAAAAAGCATATTATATATAAAAAGCAAAATATATTAATATTTTATAAAGTATATACTAGTCACCATTATTATATTTTTATTAAAAACAAAAACAAAACAACAAAAAGTTAAAAAATGCCAATTTATGGATGCCAATTGATGGGATTCTACGAATGTAACAGGTAATGATTATTACATGAGGTGGATAATGTGAGTGATTTGGTTAAAGAAAAATGTAAAAATTGTAGAGCAAAATAGTTTGCATCATTTTATTCAAATTTCTTTTGTAGTTTTTTAAAGCCAAATAACAACAAAATGATACAACAGTTCTTTATAAATATTTCATTACAAGCACAAAACTTAACTTTTAACACACCACAACATATTAAACATCCAAATAATTATAATTAATTATTTTCATTTTCAATTAGCAAAATAATTAAAAATTTTAAACCGTTGAGAATTTTAAAATTTAAAAAAGCAAATTAAAATTTATTTAAACAATTTAAATCAAAAGTAGCAAACTATTTCTTTACCATATATGTAATGTATATTAGTTATTTTCTATATAAAGACAATAAATTTAGAAAGTAATTTCATGGTCCAATAAATACAAAAATATCGTATGGGAGCTTAGAAAGATATGAGAGAGTATGAGCGACAATATGTGCTCTCGATGTAGTGATTGGATTTGCATCTCAAAGCCACGTTTGTTTACCTGGACTATTACTAGTCTAGGTTTACTATAACAAACATTACTAACAGGAATAAAACAGCAGGTCTTTGGGTTACAATAACAACAGTACTATTATTAGTAGTATTAATAAATCAAAACATTGCTGCTGTTGGCACTATGTTTTTTTTTATTTTTGGTACATAGTTTTTGCATTTACATTGTTGCTTTTTTTTGTAGCTCTTAATTTAAAAAACCCTAAACTCAATTCAAATCTATATATTACTTAATGTGAGAGAATAAAATTTTAATGTGAGAAATTATGATAACAGAAAAACGACAAGAAAATTTGTTATAATAATAAAGTCGTCGAATTTATAGAGAACCCTTGTATAAATAACTTTAATAGGCACGTTTTATTTTTACCGTATATACATATACACTAAATTTTTGTATATAGCCAAATGAAAGACTTAAAAAAAATAATTCAGTTTCTATATGCACAGCAGTGCATTTAAAAAATTAGCTGAATTCTCATATTGTCTTGACACAATATTATAGAAAATAAAATAAAAAATAAAACACGGTTAATATTAAAACATTTATCAAAATTTTTGGTTACAGGAAACTATTTAATAGTCGTTTTACACAGCACAACTAATTGAAATTTTGCTCGTTCGGCTCGTTTTACTAAAAACATGTTCACACAGCTAATCATAATTTTATCTTAATCTTGTTTCTAGTAGTTAGATTCGTAAATGAAAATGCCGAACACATCGCAGCAATGTTTTGTTTGCTTTACTTTAGTTTATAAGCAATATTGCTCTAGAATTATACCATTGTGAATTACACATCTAAATTTAACTAGATTTTGATAATGACAATAAAAATAAATAGGCCTATTAATATTAACGACATCTTTACGCCTGAAACTGATTTTTAATAGAAGACAGAAACAGAAGGGTTACATTTTATCCATTCACTTTCGCGCGAAAAAGAGATAATTACTGATTTAAAAATTTTCTCAATGGAAACTATATTTTAATAGAAATGTTTTTTGAACAGTAGTGATTTACAACAACAAAAAATTCATATTTTTAACTAATTACATTTTTTGCAGAATACAGCTGTTTTTTTAGTATTGCTAAATATCCAGTGTTAGTGATATTTTTTTAAAATATTTTTTATACAAAGTTATATGTAAATAATTTTTTATTTTAGACTGCAGGTACCAAAGATAGAACTTGTATCCTATCAAATTTAAATCAGAATCAGTGTTAATTAACCAACTGACCAACTGGACTTTTGCAAACAATTTGTTATTCTTCTAACAAATTCACTAGCTGTGTTATATTATATCATTCTTTGTGACTGTCCAGCTTTAATAACGCAGAGAAGAAACCTGTTTCATAAAGAATTTCTGTCACCAGAACAGATTAAGAACTCTTCTCTAGATTTAGTTCTAGACTGTATTCACAAAGCTTTAAGGGGCTTTGTTTAATCAATAGTGAAACTGGTACAATAGGTCTCTTCTGGCCGCAGTACCGGCTGTTGGGCAATTTTCACGTCTACTTTTTAATAATAATAATATATTATATCAATATTATAAACCAATTTTAGAATAATAGAATTAAATTAATCATAGTGTTAAATGTTATACCACACTTTACATTTATATGCAAACAAACGTTTTACAGGATTATACGAAACACTCTATATGTCCTATGAAGTATTTACATTAAAATATGAAGTATTTACTATAAAGTATTTTCACTTTTTAAAATATAAACAAAAATTTGAATATCTTTATAAATATTACTTATTAAAAATCTGAGTTGTTAAATAACAAAGGTCTCCTCGGTTAAATTAATTTTTATTATACAAAACAAAAAATATTTATACAAGCCCGAGTAATATAAGCCTGTTACTTGCAGTCCAAACAAATTACATAGGGACTATAAAATAATTTAAAAAAACTCGAATAATTGCTAACACTACTGATGATAAGTACTTGGCAATACTCTAAACAGGATTGTGTGGTTAACCAAACTTCAATAAATTAACTAAAATGTTTGTTGTTGTCTTTTTATTTATATTCGAATCCTTCTAACTTTTAATTTCTTTCTTTTTGTTATAAGATGAGTAACTTTCGGCAAGAAAAAAAAAATAACATTGAAAAACTATTAAACTTTAAGTTTCAGTATAGTGTAAACACAATTAAAAAAAAAACAAAAGCAATTAAAACTCATTTTCAAGCGTCAAAAGCTGCCGCTTATGGATCGTATTTTAATAGTCAAATCTATGGAATTTAATTATAATTTTAATTGAAAATTATAATGAAGTCAAATAATTAAAATTAAAATTATTTGAATAGACAGACTATAAAATATTATTTGAAAGCTTGTAGTTTTCTAAAGTGTTGATGTAACATAACAAATTATATATTATTTTTATTTACCTAGTGTGTAACTAAAGTAGCACTTATTTTTTAGATAGTGTTATCTTTGACATACTTCATTTTAAATAAAGTTAAAAATAAACTTGTACTTGCAGTCTCAAAAAAACTATTCACGAATATGTAATTAAATACAAGAGAAATAATTCCAAGACCACTGATGATGAGTATTTGGTAATAATCGAAAATAAAATAAAAAAAAATATTTGTTGTTGTAGTTCACTACTTTTCGAAATCTCTCTGTTAAAAATAGAGATTTGTATCATTTGCTCGCATAAGATTTGTATCATTGTTTGGATTAAGAAATTACTTTTTAAATTCATTTTTTTTATATAGAAAACAACATGATTGTGTATCATGTTAATGATGACTTTGCTTATAATAGAAATGAATTAGATATTGAAAACCATAATACACAATTTATGTTATTATAAGAAATCAATTCATATTAGGTATATTGACAAGCTCTTCACAGTAAATGCAATTTTCGCTTTTAAGTTAAAAATTTTGTAGCATTTTTTGTTATCTAATATAAACATAGTCCATAACCAATGTTCTGTTTGTTTTAAATTTGTTGTGTAAGTTTTAAGTGAAATTGGTGTGTATAAAAATTGTGATAGGATTTGGAGTTTATATGTTTGCAAAATCATGCAGAATGCGTTTGAATTTTGAGTGGGATTAAGTGAATTGCATGGCATATGTTGTTATTGTATGTAATTTTTTTTTGGTATTGTGTTGTACATCGCCATCAACTCACCACATGTGGCACTCTCTGTTGCATCATTTGTATATCCTCGTATGAATATACTGGTTGCTGATAATATGGCAATCCAGTCTGAATATATTGACTAACCATTTGAATATTAGACACCATACCAGCATTATTAGCTGCGCTGTTCTTATTGCCTGACGAAACAGTAGAAGCGGATGCAGTGGCTGCTACGACTGAGGATACATTGTTGTTATTAACACTACTAACGCTGTTCGCACTGTTAGTTGCACTGGTATTATTATTACCAACAGAATTTGCACTATTCGCATTGACACTATTAGAAGAGGCAGAATTTGAAACTTTCGAGTTCGATAATCCTCCAAGCGATGTGGAACTGATGCTATTTGCAGCAGTGGCTGCTGCATTAACTGCGCTGGATACCGAACTCACTGAAGTATTGCTATTGCTAGCACTGTTTGACGAAGCACTGCAAAAAAAAAAAAAACATATTATTTATAAATCATTATTTTCTTTTATTAATTTAATTAATTTAACTGTATTTTAATATGGTTAATCAACAATTTTTATATTGTGATAGCATGCATTTTAAGATATATATACTTAGCTCAGTCAATCCTTTTTCAATAGTTACATAGTATCATGACGTGTAGTCTTACCTGTCAAAATGCGTGGTGTTAGATGCAGATGTAGTGTCCTTTAACTTAGCACTAGTACTAAAGTTACTGTATTGAGACGATGATGTGCTTGTGCTACCAGCAAACCTAAGTGTGACACAAGGGACATGGGTGATTCAATTATTTATTTGGTTTGGTTGTTAGAATTAAACGAAAAAAAAAGGTGTAAAGAAATTTTTTAAGACAGAGGTTTACACAATTACAAAGACACATTTTAATATCTAAATTTGATGTAAAATACACTTTTATACCAAAATATGAGAATGTTAATAATTAGTTCTATAAATCTATGAACAAAACTTTACAACATCTATAGAGAACACAAATACGATAATACTTCTACTTATTTATAAATACATATGTATTAAGACAGTTCCTAAGATCGAAGTTAAAAAATTGTAGAAATAATAAAAAAATTTTAAATAGTACAATAATTCTATTTATTATTTATTTTTTACTAATAGACGTCTCTAGCCAAAAATTCCTATAATTTTCTCATAGTAACATTGGATTGACTTTTTACAACAGCAACGCAACTAATATGCTGCAGTGAAAGCGATGCCAGCAACTATACTTATTGGCTTCAAGTGCAGCCGGGCCTACGTCCCAGAGCCACTCGTCGAGTTCGATGACCAAATGCTGTTCAACACTCCCAAAATAGAGCTCTGTAGCCTACAGAGCTCTATATAAGCAGAGCTCTGTAGGCTACAAAAACCATATATATCATAAAATATTTATCGCACACACAAAACTCCGTCCAATCGACCTTTAGACCCACCCAACTCCACTTCGTAGTCTCCCGCTCCCCTATCCCCAATCAACCATTACCTATCCACATCCTAAACCATGTATTCGCCTCGTGTATAGTTTCATATTATTTACTGTCCAGATCTCAGCGATTTACAATAACAAGTTTTTACCAACGATTCCAAGAACGGCCGGTTTTATGTCCCGAAGCTACTTATCGAAGACGACTAATACCTTTCAACATCCCCAAAGAGGTTACACAAGTAAATCCCGTCGGGCTACAACAACCCAAAAACGTATTACAAATCTGAGAAAACATTCAAGTGTTTTAAAAGAACAGGTTTAAAAAATCAGATCTATAAATGCCAAAACATAATTATTATAGACCGAAGGTGCTAATAAAAATTGTAAAACTCTGATATCAACCATATCTGTTCCTAATAATTATGATAAGAAAAACTGATTTCCTATATTTTGTTTGTCATATATTTGACGTTCTTTACACTCAAACTTTTATAAATAAAGTCAATGAATTTAATAGAATAAGTATTTGCCACAGAACTTTTATGAATAAAATCATTGGATAAAATCATTAAGTTAGTCTATTCGATTTAATTATATGGTCTTAATCCTAGATGTTCAGCTCGAAAAACATGAAGTTTCATGTATTTTTAAAAAGCTCTTTAGGCTTATTTAATCAACTTAAAATAAAGTGGGAAGATCTTGGACGCTTTAAAGTGTTTTACATCAA